GCATGAGGTGTGGCCCAGACACCTTTGCTGTTACCAGGGATGTTGTTTATAGGTGGGTTTAAATACTTTACAAGCCAGCAGGGCTTATGGGACCATCCCCAGTTTGCCATATTAATTTAACTTCTTTTGGGGGTACTCACAAACCCCCTTCTTTAAACGCATTCCTGTGGCTGACCCAAATGCCTCGTTCTAACTGCCAGCTCATGTGTTTTGAAAGGAATTCAGTTCTGAAACCTTCCTCAGCGGGCAGATTGGTTTCTGCATGAAATAACTTTCAAGGATTGTCCTCTCTCTCTTGGCTGAGAAATAATATTGGAATAGCACTGTCGTGCTTTCTCTTCATGAGGGTGTAAAAGGCTGAACGGAAGCATTAACTGCAGCTTTAAAGCATTTCCATAGTAAAATAAATCTAATTGAGCAGTTATTGCAGTAGCTTTTTAATTTGTGGAAGAGATTAGGAAATAACTTTCAGCTTGCTCTGGCAGAGCACTCCCCTAGGACATGTCCTGGGCGCACTGGCATCGCTCTTTAGGTTCTTATTCCCTCCCCCTTTAATTGTCCGGTCACATTTGAGTGATGCAGAGTTCAGCTGGCAAAATAATGTAGGAACCTCAGTCTGCAGGCGTGTTTGATACAAACCTCAGTTCACAGAAGGAGTAGCAGTGTGCCATTCATGCCTTACAGGGAAACCACAGCAGAGAGATGTAATTTGCCTCGGCTCGGGATGAGTCTGATGTGTTATTGCTCCTTCCCTGTGGCTCAACACAGTGGCAAAGGAGGAAGCTGCATTGAGGATAATGGGAGAGTTGGCAGTGATGTGTGTGAGTGATTTCCAGAGTCCCATCTACACCCCTTGGTCTCAGGTTGGAGACTGCAGTGATGGGACTTAGCGTGGAAAAATCAGCAGCTTTGGGAGAATGTTGGTTTGTCTATGTAGACATGAAGGGATAGAAGATAGCCTTAAAGGAAAACACTTTATAGCAAAAATATTGTGTGGAGTTAAGAGCAACCAGAGGAATCTGAACATCTTTCCCTGGGAACTTTTCAAGTCCATTTCTGAGGTTTGGAAATAAAGTCTGCTTAGCACCGGCACTCTGGCAGGGCTGGGAGGGAGAATGGCACTAGAGAATGGATCTGCTTTAGAGTCAGTCTGGCGAGAGTTTGGGTCCCCCTAAAAGGCTTCTGGGGGATAAGTGGGTGGCAAAGATTCTCCCTGCTCCCAGGGGAAGGGACCTGGGAGAATTCCACCTGCAGTTTCTTTGGCGAGGCCAAATCTTTGGAAGATGCTCTGCAGAAGCTTCTTTGGCAGTCACTGTAAGCAAGGAGAGATTTGCAGCTCCCTGGTTCTGAGGTCAGGGCACGGCCAGTGGAACAAATCTTAAGTGTTTGCCTGGCCTTCCCTGAGAAGATGAGAAAAGTGTGTGTGTGTGTATGTTGGGTCATGCTGCTGCCAGCTGCTCCAGCTTGTCCTGGCATTTCCTCCATTCCACTGTGCCATGCTTCAGGAAGGGAGTTTCCAGGCTGGCTCAGGTATGCTGGCTGAAGCTTTCAAGACAGATGCCACACTTGAACTTCTAGGTGTGAGCAAGTCTTCCAGTGAAAACAGGCTGTGCCTGGCAGAGGATTAACAGGGCTTTGTGCGTGTAGGTGAGAGAGCTGCATACAGGGCAGAAAGTGAGTTGGTCTGAAACCTGTGCTCTTGACAAACTTGTGCCTCTCCAAAAACATCTCATCAGCTTGTGGGTAAACAGAGAGGGGAGGTGTGTGACTGCAGCAGAGACTGGTTTGCATTTGTGAGAGTTGTGCCAGCCAGAGTCCACGTCTGCTCTGTCCCTGGTGTGCTCTGTTCCCCCAAATCAAACTTCTCATTTCCTTCCTTCCTTCCTCTCCTTCTCTAGAGCTTCTTTCTCCATAAGCTCAGCTTGGTTTGTGGAGGTCAGAGATCTGCCCTTGATCCATTCCTGATACACTTTTATTTCCTCACTTCATCTGCTGTGTGCTGCTTTTGTTGGCAGTGTTTAATTATCCCTCATTGCATGCCCTCGGTCCTGCTTGCCAGCCTCTGTGAAGTGGGATGTGCTGAAATGTCAGATTTGGCTTAGGACTTCTACTTTTCTGTGGAAATGTCCAGGGGAAGAACATCCTTCAGCCCCAAATACTGCGTTATCCTTTCCTTACAAGTAAAGAAGGTTTGAGCAGCACCTAATGCAGAGAGGTGTCACCTGCCAGGGTCTGTGGTGCAGAGGGTTGCAGGGGGGGTATAATCCATCTTTCCAGGCTGGCTGGTGAGATTCCCCATGGCTTTGGGCTACCCTTTGGATCTATCAGGAGCTGGAATCTCCTGGGGACTCACTGTCCTCTCTGGAGAGACATGTCAATGTTTGCCAGGAGATAACTGCATTCCAGGGAGGGACTCTTTTGTCTTGCTAAAATCGAGGAAATCTGATCAAAGTGCAGCCTTGCTTTAGAGTTTTTCTTTTTGACTTTGTCCCTGACCTACATATTGGATCCTGCCACAGTGGTTGGAAGTAATTGAGAGTGTAGTGTTAGGCTATTTACCAAGCTGTTCACTTGAAAATAACCTTACTAAGTCCAGTCCACACCTGTTCTGGGAGAATTCTGGAGACAAATAGCAAAGCATCATTAACCCTTTCATCCACATACAACCAGTTCAAGATCTAAGAGCAGAGAGATGCTGTACCTCTGCTGATGCCAGGAGGAATTTGTGACAGAGGATGTGCTTCACCATTTGTTTCCCAGCTCTGTGGATGATTCCAATCAGCTGCTGAGGCCTGGTCTTCTCTGTGTCCACATCCACATGAGGACACTTCAGAAACCTCCTCGTGGAAATTCCTCCTGGGTGGTTGTTGTTTTGGTGTTGATTCTGTTGGACCAGAGGTTATGCTGGAAAATATATTGGGGGTAGGAGGGAGGTGTTTTCTTTGTTATCCCAGTGGTTGTTTCTGATTAAAGGATCTGTTTTGAAGGGGCTGCTAGTCAGTTGCCTAGAAAACTTGCTTTCATTTAATTAATCATGATGAGTTTAGTCTGGAGGTTTTGTAGGAGAGAGCAGGCAAGCATATCCGTGGCTTTTTTCCCTTGAAAAAAAAAAAAAACAACAAACCAAAAAAAAGCAGGGCTTCATGTCTGAAACTGCAGCTCTTTTGTCTCCTCGGGTCAACATCCTTCTCTGTCCTTCGGGTTTTAATTTTACAAGCCATGCGTTTGCAGAGGTGGATGGAGTTTGAAGTCCATCCAGGTGTGGAATGAGGAAAGAACCCTCAAGAAGATTACAGGAGCTGTTCTGCAACTCATTAACTCACTCTCTTCCCCTTCTTGTTATCTCCTCCCCATGCCTGGGGCCTTTCGAAGCAGTGCTCTAAGTGCCTCTCACTTAATCTAGCCCACCTGGACAGGTGTATGAAGAAAGGAATTGCCTTCCGGGGAAGGACTAAAGGAGCATAGATTGCAGAGGGAGGCTGCTTTTGGGAACTGCTAATCCCAGTTTAACATTATGACAGCTGCTCGTTAAAATCAGGGTGTTTTTTAACAGGCAGTTAAAGGAGAGGCTTTGCACGCACATTTAACTGAGAATAATAGTGAACCATGTGTATTTGATTTTTTTTTTCTTTAAATCACGCAAATTGTACATGGAAAGAATTCTCCGGCGTCAACTTGCTGGGGTATGGAATTTACAAGGTTTGCAGTAACATACAGTTTCCTGTTGAGGGGTTGGAGAAAATCACAAAGCTTTCTTTTTTTTTCTCTTATTTTAAGATCAAGTTCAAACCCCTGTTATGAACCCAGCCTCTTTAGGAGGGACACTTACTGCATTGGAGTTTTTCACTTGTCTCGGTAGCAGTTCATCATGTAAACTTGTCTGGGTTCTTGTTTTTATAGCTACATGTAAAGACTGCTTATAAACTATAATTTTGTACATGGTGGGAAGGCAGCACTCAGGTCCGGTTTGGGAGAGTCTATATACAAAGAAGGAAGCAGTTTTTTTCCCTTGGGGAGATGGCAGTTTCTTCCTTTGCTGAACTTCAGTAAACTTGGTCTATTAACATGATTTTCTCTGCAGGACTGTGGTGTTGGATAAGAAATGTGAAGAGCTAAGGCAGAGCAGGGACTATCAAAGAGACATTTGGCTGTATTTCATGTGATTTCACTGTAGACTTTACCAGCTGCCTCCCAAATCAGTAGTTATTTGCTGGTTGATTTCTTGAGGGCAGTGCTGTGGAAGTAAGAAGCTGCACAGCTCTGACACAAGTCCCCAGATCCACTCGGGGAGCCGTGTCCTTTTCTGCCAGCCCTTAGGCATGAGGCATGAAGGGCAGGTCTGTGATGCAGAGAGATATAAAATTGCCCCAGGTAGTTCTGTTGCTGGAAATTCTTATTCCTGCAGCTACTTAGGTTCAGGCAAATTAATTCAACCCACTAAGACTGAGCAGCTAGCCTGGGAGTGGAAGTTTCTCTGGTATGTTTTTGGCAGCTCTACTCCAAATGGTTTGTGGATGGGAATGTCCTTTCTGTCTCCCAGGAAATGCCAGTCTCTCGTGTAGCTTTCTTCAGCTGGCTGTATTGCTACCTGGGATTTTCATGTCTGTTTCTAGCAGCTGGATCTCCAGCCTTTCCTCACTGTTTGACAGAAATCTGGCCATTTCAGAGCTAGAGACGAGCTGGGAATCCTCCAGACACATACCTGTCTAAGTTTGTCGAGCAGAGATCTTCTCTTTGGACCCAACACAGCTTGGTTCAGCCTCCAGGGACTGGTGCAGCCAGTGTGACTCTGCCTCCTTGTGACTGATCATGAACTGTTCCTTGTCACACCCTTCAGAGGAAACACCTTGGTGGCAACAGGACTAAGAGACACAAATATTTTTCATCTTAAGGTGTAACTCTTAAGAGTAATTATGTTACAGTTTTAACCCCCCAACAAGCTTTAAAAGACTGAACTCTTGTTAAACTGTACTGAGTAATACCATTTCTCTTCCTCACAGGTTGCTGTCATGTAAAGTACTTGCTGATGGGCACTTGGGCTTTTTTCTGTACGGTTCTTTCTACATTGTTTAACGGCTTTAACTTTTGCAAATCTCTTCCTTTGCTCTGCTGCCTGGATTAAAAAGAAGGCTGCAGTGTGTGAATGTGAGCACACTTAAATGCTTATCTGCACATCTGAGCTTTCTAAACTTGCCTATGCTCTAATTGCAGAGTGTAGACTCTGCATGCAGAACAACCCAGCCTGAAGTGATAATCCCAGGCTCAGACCCGAGGGAATGCCTGACATTGCTCTGGCCTGATTTTCCTAATGGCTCTGCAACTTGCCTCTGGTTTGCAGGTGGTTTAAATTGTTATCGCTGAGCACCTTGCCCAGCTTGGGCAGAGCTCTTGGGATCTCTGATCCTCGAAGAATACCTATGTGTCTTGATTTATTTTTTATTGATTTCTCAAAACTTCTTCCTCCCTCCCGAATTTAGGTGCAATTTGGGCTTGTGCCAGCTTAGCAGACTCACTGCAAAGGGATGCAAACCCAGCCTGAACTCCCTGCTGAGATAGAGAGGGATGAATGGGAAACCTGGAGTTCCAGCTGCCCCTCTTGCCTCCTCTGAACAACCCTTCCTTGCCCCCATCCTGCATGATCGATACCCAGGCCATCCCCTTCCCTTGCACTGGAGAATTGGTATTTTTCCTTGGCTAATAACCTGTGTCTGATTTAGTTTCCAGGCAGAACGCCCTGCATTAAACGTTGTCATTTTCCCTCTGCTTCACGAGGACTTGACAGAGGTCATCAGAGATGTCCCCATGCGGCACTTGGATGAAATTACCTTGTTTAAAAGCAGAGTGGCCGAGGAACCTCCCAATTTGTGGTGGTGACTGTCACAGCATGGAAAGGACAAGTCAGTGTGAACCTATGGAGCAGCTTCTTGTTGGTTTGGGTCTCCCATCCTCGGCTCCTCACTGGATGCTGTACAATCACTTCAACCAGGTGCAATTGCAAAATAAAAAAAGCTGGTTCTTTGCAGTGGGGAAACATCTATTGGATGTTGCTTGCATCTGAAAATCCTGTCTCAAAGGCTTGTGGAATCTGATGAGTATTTCCTTGCGGTTAATATGAATAGTTTTTGTTATTTTACTGAAGTTAAAAGGTAAGAGAAACTGACTTGATGCTCTTTCCCCTGTGTCCCCTGGTGTCTGTCCCAAGGGCCCCTGTGTACGTTGGCAGTGTGCTTTGTGGTTTTGGTGGAAATCATTCTTTGCTTCAGTCTGTTTTTGGCAAAGTAGAAAGCCTAGGCCAGCTCAGAGGCACAAAAATGTGTTGCTCAATTGAAGTGCATCACATCTTTTCTATGTTACAAATAGGCATTTATAGTCACACATGTGCAGTCACAGATATTTAAAGGTTTTTTTTTTTTATTTTTTAATAACAAATTAAGGTCATTAACACCTCGACCGTGTTATGTTCCTGCTGATGCTGTCTCCATTGGTTTGGTGAAAGTTCTCAGCTCATCTGGAAATCCTTGTCCTAGGGTAGATGGTGCCTACAGTGAATAAGTTGAGGCTCAGATCTGATTTATATGCAGTCTGTCTTGCAGTGTAGATGGGAATGTAGTGTTCCAGTTCTGTCCTTATACCCCATGCCTTGAGCTCATGCTAATTTTAGAGATGTTATGAAGTATTTTCACAGTGTGATTTCAGTCAGCTTCTCTGCTCCACAGAACTTCCTCAGGCATCAGTAGTGGTCTGGATCACTTTCATATTGCCTTATTTACTGAGCACTTTTAAAAGCATCAGACAGCTGTACCAAAAGCCAAGTTACAAATTCCTGGAGCTACATGTCTGGGTGGCAGAATTTTCCTTGGTAGCATACCAGGTCTGACTTCTGCAAAGCAGCTGCTGACCAGAGCTGTCTGACTTCACCCAAATCCCAAATGTGTTGAGCTCTGCTCTTCTGGGGAGGCCCAGAGTCGTCCAAAGATGATGTGCCCATCTCCTTGTCAGCATTTTCTACTCAAGATGCCCTCTCCCAAATGGTCTTCTGCCCTCAAGTATTCAGAGGAAGCCTGGTCTGGTGGGATAGATTTGAGAACAAAATGCATCTCCCAGCATTGGAGGACTTTCTGTCCTTACTTTCCAATCAGCCACGTGTGAACCTACCTGGAATTCTGTCCCACAGGTGTAAATCTTGAGCGAGGCTGTGGTAACCCTGGTGCTCAGAGAGGTTACAGTAAAGGGCAGGTAAGTGGCAGGCTCTGCTAGCACAGGTCTGTCCCTTGCTGAGACCAGTCCCTGGTGGTTTGCTGTCTTTCCTGAGGCTCCCTCTCTTCCCCTCTCAGGACAGAGAGCCAGCACAGCCTCTGGAGTGCAGCTGGCAGCAGGATGGTGAGGCCAGCTCCTGTTCCCCTGGGAATGCTGCAGCTGAGCTGTGAGCACTCCCTGAGTGTTTGAGGCTCTGCCTCAGCTTCAGCTCTGTGCAGCTGAGTGTGACGAGCTGCTGCCCCTCTCCTGCCACTGTTTTCCCACCCACTCTCCCCAATGAGGCCGTTCTTTCTACCTCTTGTCATATTACTCACCTGTCTGAATCCTCTTCTCTCTCTCTTCTATACCTCTCCCTCACTTCGGCACATCAGATGTGATTTTTGGCAGGAACGCGAGCTGCTGCTCTGTCCAGTTGAGGCCACTTCAGCTCTGCCCGGTTTTTGTCTGTGTTTTTTTCCTAGGATAACTATCGATGACTGGGCAGAGGGTGTTTGCAAAGCTGTTTTCTCCTTGTTGGAGGCATTGGCAAAGTTGCTTTGTCCTGCTTGTGCCGCTGGCCTCAGGGCAGAGGGAAGGCAGAGAATGCAGATGCAGCTCTCTGATGCCTTAGGGGACCTGTTCAGTCCTGTGAAGGAATCCTGATGTTTGGTTGAGTGAGGCCATTCCCACCCTCAGCGGGATTTCCCCTGCATAAACTCTGTGGCATCAGCAAGAGCTTGGCAATGCTGCCAACTCACCTCTTCCTGCTCTGCTGGAAAACCTGGACTGGGGGACAGTGGTGTGCAGAAACCAGCTGTTGCTTGATTCTGGTGTTAAACCTTTGCTCTTGGGGTTGCAGTCACCTGATGGAACATGCTGCACACTTGGCTTGGCACATCCATGTCCACCTGCCTCGTCTCCTGCTGGATGGGAGCAGCAGCCAGGGTTGTTTTATAGCACTGTTATTCTGTTGCCAGGGATATGATGTTTGGGCATCTGTAGTCACACAAGTGGGTCACAAGTCCTGATGATGCTACCAGTTATAACCAGGGTTAGGAAAAAAATCACCCACAGGTGATAAAGGTAGCATCCTAAATAGTAATTAAGAGCTAAAATCTCCTTCCACCCCCAGCTCCCCAACTCTGGGCCAGTGCTTGATATCTCTACTACAAATCCTCTTATGGTGAGTGAGAATTTCCGCTGCTTTTGCACTCCAGGCAGGATTCACCAGATGTTAATAATGTGCTTATTTTCTCTAAGTGCTATTTTGGCATCGGTGTTAATTACAATTTATATTCTGCAACATTTACACTGGGAAAAGAACCCACCCTAATAGTACCCAATTGGCAGAGCTGGGCTATTAAACACAGCTCCATATGTTCTGAGCAGAGCAGTGGATGGGACTCGGAGCCCACTCAGGGCTCAGGCTCCAGCAGGCAGCTGTAGAGGAAGAGAGGGAAGCAGAGAGAGGGGTGTTTTGCTTCTGGATTTTATTTAATATTAAACCCTCCCCCCCTCCTTTTCTCTGTCCCCATCTCTCCAGAAATCTCCCTCCTGCTATCTGTGAGCATTTAAGGAGGTGATTTCTGAGCCTGCTGATGCTGCTGTCCGTAGTCTAAAACAAATGAATTCAATTCCAGAAGGTGCCCTTCTCGCAGGGAGTGCCTCTGCAGGATCCCAGTCCCTGCTGGTCTCTTCCTTGCTGCCTTCCAAAGCAGACCTCCAATCTTTGGGAACTGCAGCAGAAATTTTTGCATTGACCACACCAAGGTGTCTGTGGTTCTGATGGAGAAGGATATTCTGGGACAAGTACTGTTCTTGTGTAAAACTCTTTGTAGTTTGCTGCTCTTCTCACGTCCAAAGTCCTGTTTGGCAAAGTGGCATTTGGTTCCTGCAGGCTGGGGGGGTCTGGAGTGACACTGGTGTGTGGGGAATTCAGAGGGGAATTCAGAAAGTCATCTGTGTTCCCCTGGGTTTCTTAGAATTGTTTCCTCAGCGGTTTGCAAAGCTGATTTCACGCTCTCTTTAGGAAATGGCAGTGCATCCACTGCTCTGTTTGGAGAAGGGGCTGTGTGGTGACAGTCTCTCCCTTCAGGAGAGCTCTGACTGTGGTCACTCCTCTGTCAGGGAGAAGGAGAAGATGGGAGTGAGAGGAGGCAGGACAGGATGGAGTCATGGTCTCACCCTGGAAGCCAGACAGACATCCCGAGGCTAGGTCTGCTTCCTCACTTGTGCAAAGGGAGGAGGCTCCCCAGGTGTTGAACCCTCCAGGTGAGGTGTTGCTCACTGGGGAGCAGGGGGCAGACCTGGGGCTGGTGTGGACTGAGAGCAGCAGAGCCACAACCCCGCTCACTTTAATTCCCATCACTGCCTCCTCCTCTGCCAGGAATGTGGGATGCCAGGGAGTAGAGCAGGACCCATCCCCTCACACTGATGTTCAGAGCTGTGGCAGCTCTGGGACGATGGACAGGTGCATGGGACCGTCCATGTGAGGTGCTGGGTGCTTTCTTCCAGCAGTGCTTTTCTAGGGCTGTAGAAATTTGGGACTTTCCCACTGGCAGAGTGAACCAGTGCAGTAGGGTTGTTTCACCTGACTAAGGAGATGCAATTCCCTCTTGGCTGGTCCCAGCAGAGTGTCCAGCCAAAGCTGGGAGAGCAGTGCAGGAGCTGTGCCGGTCGTTGCAGAGCCCAGTCTCCTTCCACTGCAGCTCTCCTGCCTCTTTGAGATGCGCAGGCAGCCGGGGCACTCCAGCGGGAGAATCATTTCCATAGAAACCAATTGGGATGTTGTACGGGGAATAATGATTAATAGTGAAGGGATGTTGCCTCAGGCCCTTTTCATTTTTTAGGGGGCAGTGAGGGACAAACTGGGGCACAGGTAGGGGGACAGGGAGACTGGAAAACTAATGGAAACCATCTCTTCCATTAATTTCCAGGGCAGCTTCCCCTCTTTTCCTCCTACCCAGCCCCCCACTGCTGCTCCCAGCTTTCGTCAAATTTTCAAAATGGCTAACCTGGTTAGAAATAATCATAATAATAAAAAAGGATGGATGAGGTCTGACTACTAACATTGTTGCTGTTAGCAGCAGGATTTCAGCCATAAAACATGAAGCAAGGGAGGCATTGACCTTTCCGCTGTTTGAAATGAATGGAGACATCAATATCTATTGTTTTGTGGCATTGACCTCTGACGCTCTAGGTTCGCCCTCCCCTTTCTTTTTTTTTTAATTTCCCCCTGACACTCGAGGAAAGGGGTCAGTCTGTACCATCTATTGATCCTGATCTTACTTGGTGATAGGGAAATAATTAGAATTTTAAAGATCTCTGCTGTACGCTGGTGAAATACATACACAGAGGCACAGGCTAAGCCCCCACTTGCCATGTTGTGTTCTCCCCCCTTCCTTGCAGAGATCCAAAGCTCTGAGATCTGAAGGAGGGCAGATCAATATAGGTTTAATCATGATGGGGGTTTTATTTCAGTTTCTTAAATGGTAAAGTGTAACGTTTTATGTTAATGTTGTCAGAGCCTGGCTGCCTGGTGCCTTGTTTTATTTATTCTTTTAAGTAGCCCCTTCTTTTGTGAACTTCATCTATGTACAGAGAATGTGAAATCAGGCATTGCTAATTAGCTGTATGACAATTAAGTAATGTAGCACAAAACCATTAGGACACTGGATTTGTTTTTGAAGTTTATCCTTTGAAGTGGAAGCTGCAACTCCCTGCCCAAGGCTGCTGGGGAAAATGTTTTTCTATCAAAACTTTCTTTGAAAATAAAATGTCAATGTAAGAGTCCCTATTTCTGTCGTCTCTCCCTCTAAACAGTGGGTGGAAATTGTTTCTCCTTGTAAAAACTTCTGGCATTGATAGAAAGGGGAATTCAGGAAAGCATTAAATGGGCAGTTGGTCTCCAAACACCCTCAGTTCTGGTAGAGATGTTACCAAAAATGCTTGTTTAGCTGATTGAAAGGGAACAGTGCCACTCTAGGAGAGAAGACCTGGCTCACGAGTCTGGAGATGGCAAAGAGAGATGGTCCTAAAACTGGGGGTTCATCTCTGACAGCCCAAGTGCCATCAGGGTGCCAGTCTGGTCATGAATCCCTGCAGGCTCCTGGGTTCGGGCTGCTCCATCCGTGCGCTCCTTTGACACTTGTGTTTGCATCTGGCCCTTTGTCCTCGTTGTGAGTCGAATTCTGAATGTGCAACTTTCATGTACGCTGGTGGCATGTAAAACTTCAAATAAAGAGTGAAACATTTCAAACCAGCTCTATCTCCTTGCCTCCTGCTTCCTCTTTCCCTCTCAGTGTGGAGACACTTTGGTCTGGGTGCTGCCCAGTCTGCTCTGGGAGCTGTGGAGCATCACTGGGAGTGCTGGGATGAGCACTTTTGGGGTTTCAGCCCTGTTCTCTTGGGTCTCCTGGGTTTGGTGATGTTCTGTGGTGTTTGTGGCTGTGGGCTCGGCTAAAGAAAGAGCTACTTTGTGTTCAGGAAATGCTTCTCCTCTTTGGATCTCTGCGCATCTGTGCTGAACTGTGCTGATGTGGGACAGAACATTCAGTGCCAGGTTGGGTGAAGATTGGAGCAGCCTGGTCTAGTGGAGGGTTCCCTGTCCCCGTGGCAGCAGGGCTGGAATGAGATGAGCTTTGAGGTCCCTTCCAACCTGAACTACTCTGGGACTCTGTATCCATTATCCCTGGGTAAGTGGCTCAAGGATCCACTTCTCTGAGCAGCCCCAGGCCACCAGCCACACCTCACTGACAGCTCCAGCCCCTGGACAGCAGACAGGACCTGCACCACTGCTTTGTGGGAAGCCAAGGGCTAAAATCAAGTGCCTGGTGAAATGTGAACTGGGATGGCCAAAATCCCGCCCTTGGCACCATGGATTTAGCTGAGCTGGGCTGGCTGAGGCTGCAGGAAGGAGAAGCTGGGATGGTGGGAGTGGGCAGGATGGGCTGCTCATGGTGAAGGAAACTCCTCAGGCGTTAACCTGCCTTGGCAGCAGCACTTCTGCCCTGGCAGCCACCTCTGGTCCCTGGATCCTGGAGCTCTGCAGTGGTGGCTGAAAGGCCATTTCCACCCACATGGAGGAGTTGGACGTCCTGGAGCCACACAGTCCTGGGCTGTGTGATCAATGCTTAAGGAAATGTGCACCCTGTTGAGCTGTCTCTGTGTTGCTGTTCCTAGGGAACAGTACACAGGGAAGCCAGGCTTCAGCACCTTCTCTGAGTTAAGAAAATCCACAAAATAAACACAGAGGAAGAGCAGCTTGGTGCTGCTCATGTACTCATGTGCTTAAGTCAACTTGCCCCAGGTAGGTGAAATGGAGAAGAGCCTCAGAATTGGGGTGTGATCAGTTTTTAAAAGGTGAGTGAGTCCTTGTGGTGGGACTGTAGGAGAGCCTCTGTGCTGGGATCTCTGCCTGCCCCGATCCAAGGTTTTATCCCAGAGGGGGTCATGGGCTCTCCTCTGTTGTTTTTCTGTTCTGGCAGGTCTGCTCACCCAGGCACGGAGTGGAGACCCTCCTTCCATCCCTCCTGTGCCTGTGTTTAAGTTATGGATTTTATTGTTCCACTAACATTTATCTAAATGTGCTTTGGGAGGAGGGAGGAAGGAGATAAGGAGGGAGGAGGCTGAGGAAAGAATGTGCTTTTGGATTCTGCTAAGCCTCCATCTTATTGCTGGGACTTGCTGTGGGGTTTTGGAATTCATGATCCCAGGGGAGGGCTGGAAGAGCTGTGGTCAGTATGAAACGCTGGTGGGAGGAAACACAGGGATAGGCTGTGCAGAGCATCCCTCTTCCCTTTTGGTACTGATCTCATGTCCTCTGCCAGTTTATCTCTTGGCAAGGAGGGACCTGACTCAGTTTCCAGGAAGAAGAACTGGAGTGGAGGTGTGGGAATGCTGAGGGTGCAGAGCTCAGCTTGGCACAGGGAGAGATTTTCTGCTTGGATGTCTCGGAGTGTTTCTGGGTTTGCCCTCACCTGCACAGCCATGAGGTGGGCACATGGAGTAGTGATGCCAGGGAAAGGGGGAAAAAGGCCCTGGTTCTTCCACCTGCTGGGACATTCTCTGGGAGGTCTCCAGGAATGGCATGGTAGGAGGAGAGGTCCTCTGGGTCTGTGCTCCAAGTGCAGCTTCACCCCCAGGTCAGTTTGGGAGCAGTTTGTGCATCCCTGGTGCCGACAGGGGAGAAGGGAGTATGGAGGAGAGAGGCCAGATGGCTTCAACTCCCAGAGGCTGGAGGATGTCTGTGGCCACAGGATGCAGCTGACAGTTTCCAAGGTGCTAATTTTGGGCTTGGTACTTCCCAGCCCCAGAGCTGGCCTCTCCCAGGGGCTGGCAGATGAGGCAGAGGTGGAGATACCTGCACTGCACAAGGGAGAACTGGCGTGTGGGTGAGGTTCTGACCATGGGGAGAAGTGGAAAGTCTTGAGGAGGACCAGAAGGAGAGGAGGAATGATGGTCAGGGCATGGATGAGTTGTAGCCGTGTGATCCAACCCTTCCTGTGCTTGTTGTTTGCCATCAGAGTGGACTCCAGGATCCCATTACCATTTCCCTGGGCTTGAATTTGGTTTTTGGTGTGGTGGTGAAGGCTTGCATGGCAAGAGGGAGCCATGGTGAGTGGAGAAGAGAAGGAAAAGGATGAGCTTTCTTTTTCCTAGGAAACACAAATGGATGGAGCAATATTTCTGAACAAACAAAGTCTCTCCTCCCTGTCTCCTGGAAGCTGCATTATCAGAGCACCATCACTGTCCCCTCTCTTCTCCTTCCCCCCTCCAATGAACAGGAATTAAAAATACAACTAATAAAACCCTTTTACTTTCTCCAGCAGGAGAAAAAAAAAAAAAAAGCAAAGCAGCCTTGAAAATGCTAAAGGACATAAAGGGCATTCATGAAAGGGTTGGATGGTGGTTATTGCAGCAGGGGGAAAAACATTATTTCACTGTGCAGATAAAAGGAAGTGGAAAAGCAGCGTATTTATAGCTGGGGAGCCTGGATTCCTTGTTAAGCCGCTATTATCAAATTAATGTCAAAATGCATCAAACAGGCACGAGTGTTCTGGGCCCCTTATGCAAAGTGCTTGCAAATTGGTTACAAATACATTTGTTTACAGGGGACGAGGCAGGAGCGAGCTAATTAGTCATTGTAGCAGGGCTGTTTTGTGTCTTTTTTTTTTTTAACATTTTTTTGGCAATTACACAAACAAGCTGTTTTGAAGTATAAATACACGCTGCATTACAGCCCCTTTAAAGGGGAATCAAATGGGAATCGTGGGATGCAGAGGGCTCGGTGTGAGTGGTGTGGAGCATCGTTCTCTCCTGCCTGGATGCAGCAGGAATGCCACACTGGGCACTCAGCTCTGGGATGTGGTGTGGAAACCCATCCCTGGGCATCGGGAGGATGGATGTGGGTGGGAAGGGAACCACTTGGGTTTGGGTCTGAACCCCCTCATATGGGGCACAGTGTTGTTTTCATACAGGACCTGTTAAGGTTTCAGCTGCCCACCTCTAGCATGGGAATTCCCTTTGGGCCTGGGGTATTTTGAGGTGTTTTTGGGTGTCAGCAGCAGCTGCCAGCTCAGGGTGTGAAGCACCTTGTACCCAGCTGGTGGGTACTGCCAGTTTTGGGGGATGCTTGGATGTAGAGAGCATCTCATGGATGCTTGAACAAAGGAATCTGGAGTGAGCTCTCCCAGGTGAATGTGTCCTCAAGGCTTCTTGAACAAAACCACAGGCTGCACCTCCCAAACCCGTTAATGAGGAAGGGAAACAGGGGAGATAATCTGATCCTCAGTGTGGGAATGGTTGGGGAATTTGGTTGGGGGGCAGATGGAAACTTCCTGCTGCCCTGCATCTTAATACACCGAATTCTGGGAGTAAATCACACCTCTGCCACTCAGGGAAGCTGCTAATTGAATCTGCTCTGGTGGGAGAGGATAAAGCCAAGAGGCATTTACCACCATTATTTTTAATTTACTAAGAAGGAGAAAAGAGAGAGGAAGGAACAGGTTGTGCCCCTCTCATGCTGGAAGCCCTGACATTTCTGGGCAGAAGGTGCAAAAACCCCACAGCTACTTCTCCATTTGGATTTGTTTGTGGTAAATCTGTCCTTCAGGCTGAAATAACCCTTCTGAGCAGGTCCTGCACTCCCAGAGGTGCTGGAAACATTGAGTTTAATGCCATCATAAAACCCTGTCTTGGGTGGGAACAGAACAGGAGAAAATCTCAGAGGACCAAGAGCAGTGGAGAGTGCAGGGCTTTCCCCAGCCTCCTGCAGGAGCTCTGATGTTTGCACCAGGTTTTATTCTTTTAAAACTCAAGGTAACATTTCTCTTCACGTTGGACCTGCTTTCCAGTGCTACCTTCAAACCCCAAACCCCTCGTTACCATTGTTTTGCCTTGTTGGCTTTGTTGGGCTCATTTGCCATGGGGAGTGTGACCCACTTCATTGGGATCAGGGGCTGTGATTTTGAGGAATGTTTCCATTTCCAGGATAATCCTACCCCTGCCCTACAGGCTGTGCAGGAGCACAGCTCAGCTGGTCAGCAAATGTTGTGATCAGGCTCTGCCTCCTGCACAGTTGTTTCAATCAGGTCGTGTCTCTCTTCATTTACAGCAGGTCTCTGGTGTGACTGTCAGCTCTGTGATTGTTGGTGACCCTCCCACAGGATCCTGCTCTGCTTTGAGCACTGGGTGTTTCACACTTGCTTTTCTTATGCAGGGGTGTTCCAGCATCTCCCTACTCTGATAGCTGGGAGCAGATCTGGAATGCTCTGGAATTTCCACTCTCTGTAATTACAGTCACTCTGGCCATCCTCTCCCTTGGAGAAGACTGTGGAGCCCCATGGATTTGCTTTGGTGGAATGGGATGATGGGGCACAGACCTGTGCTTGATTTCCTTCTCCACTGTTAATTAACATAATGAAGGTGCAGCCTTTCTTGGGGTTTGTGGTAATGACTTCCAGGCTGCCTGGCAAACCCCTCGGTTTCCAAAAGTGCCCAGAGTACCCAAGGGCCTTCCTTGGCGTGTCCTTGGATGTGTCCCTCAACAGCCTTGGTCCCTCAACAGCCTCCTGTGCCATGGCCAGAGGGATGGAAGCACTGCCTGCAGTCCTGTCTCCTGCATTCCCCAGAGAACAGGATGTTCCATAGGATTGAGGTGTCCAGGGTTTCTTCAACACTTGCAGTAGAGGAAAACATCACAGCTGTCCTGCCCTCGTGCTTGTTGAGCTAAAGGGAAAGAATGAAGCCATTT